ATGCCTGAATTTTGTCTATTCTGCATACTGGCCATTTCAGATGTTTACTATTGGTTTATTTGTTATGCAAAATCTTAATATACTTATTATATATACTTATTACATATTGCCTTTTCTCTTGCCTTTTTCCTACATAGGTAGGATCGGAACAGCATTTCAATCGAGCGCAATTTTGTGTGGCGCTCTTGTTAGTGATCTTAAATAAATTTTGAATAATGGTTGAATTTCCTACAAACTTTCTTAATACTTTTGATTGGTTAGTAGTTTCAATCAGTATTCACAATTAAGAAATCTGTTATAAGTTATAAATAATAATTTATCAAGATGTTCGAATAGAAACTTGCTTCTTCTCCAACCTCCAACACGACACAAACGCGAACGTCAACAAGCGTCGCCCGCGAAACGTCCTCATCGACCCTGTTGAGGAAGGGGACTTAGATACGTTGGGGTACGTAACACTACATAACAGCTAGTGTAACAACAAACACAATAGTTCGCCCTCACTTCCGAGCACGGTGAGACCTATACAAGGTACACCCGCGTTCGAGGGCGGTTTTCTCCGCCTCCGAGCACGGCGAGACCTATACAAGGTACACCCGCGTTCGAGGGCGGTTTTCTCCGCCTCCGAGCACGGCGAGACCTATACAAGGTATACCCGCGTTCGAGAGCGGTTTTCACCGCCCCCAGCCACCGACTAAACAAGCATAGTTGATGGCCATCGGGGTCACGGTCCTCAACGAACCTCGATGGCCCGTAGGCGACATGTCACAACTAATGCACGCATGAGTACATGCGCGGCCCTACCCACTGAGGAGGGCCTCAAACCCGTGGGCTCTGGCAAGCCCATCGGTTCTGCGTTCGATGAAGTTTTAATAGTCAAAGGACTGAAAGCGTAACATCAGTTATACAAAAAAAGTTCAACCACAGAACACTAATTACATTGTCTCTGACTAATACTCCCACGAGTTCAACTGTTGTCAAAGAAGGAAATAGACTGGTATTCCGATAAGATCAATTAATATCTGCGTTTCTTTGTAACCAGGGCTCTAATAAATAAGGTTGAATATTTTGTTTAAGTTATGATAAGTGATCAATATCACAGAAGTTTCTCTCAAACATAAATAGATTTATCACTGGCATCCCAAAAACCTTCTCATTTCTCAGGATAACCAGGATGGCCGTGGGTGTTTAGATTAACAGCTTCACTATACTATAGTAGGATATTCTATAATATTTTTCTGACTGAAAATTTGTGATTTTTTTATGTGACAAAATGGCAAACGAGCTGGCGGTTCACTTGATGTTAAGTGATAACCGCAGATGCATTGCCACCTTTTAATTAAGTTGGTCCCGGCTACCTCACTCACCAGACGAAACGCAGAAGTGTACCACTTCTACTTCGCCGGTCTTCTGTGAGGTCTTGGTATTAACTCGGAGGGACCTGCCCATTTGTGCAATAGCGGACACTGTTGCGTGACCCTACCACAATTTTGAGGAGCAAACAATATGGAAGCACGTTAACAATTAAGCACCAAAAAAGCGAATGAAAACACAACAAGCAGACATATGGATGTCTGCTAATTTTTCATAAGACACGATCCGTGAATATGAACGCGGATGCGGCAAAATTATGCTTCGTCACTCGCGACTCAGTGCACTGAACATAAGCGATCGCAGCGCGAAACCTTTCGAATGTAGTTTCAGTTTCGGTCGTAGCTTCAGCCAGATAGTAGTAGCCGAAAGTGAGACGCGTTTTTTATCCGAAACTAGGACAAAACCGAAAGTTCGAATACCAAGTACATAATGTATATACGACAGGTAGTCAAAAAGTTCGCGGTTCGAAAGAGACAGGAATTGCCCCTATTCCTAGGACTACTTGACTCAATTTCACTACGAATATCACGTTTTGGCTAAATCTTGCCCAGATTTAGCCACTCTTGTTCGCTTTATCGCCAAATCAACAATCGGGAACAAAATGAAAACTGTACCGAAAATTGAGTTTCGCGCTGCCATAACGTCATAGCTGTTGTTGCACGGCAACACATAAGTTCATAGGAGTCACGTTGCGAGCGATGGCTGCCCTAGGCAAGACTAAGTGTGGCTTCGGAATCTTGAACCAACCGGCCTTGTAGTCCAAGTATTTTGTTTCCGAAAATTAAAAAAGAACCTTGAGGAAAACCAACGGTGAAGATGTGAATGAAAGTCGGCGATTTCGGCCAATTTTGTAAATTATAAATTATTTGAGAGATTGACAAAAATATTATTAGATTGGGCTTAATTTCATTTTCCTTTTTTGCCATTGCGCGAACTTTTTGACCGCCACTAGTACCTGTGTTCTGCGATGGATCTTTCCCGGGGTCCAATGCTGATGCTCACAACTATTTAATAGACGAAATATCTAAAATTAAAGTTTGAATATAACTACTGGTTACGACCGGAGGACAAGGTAGTATGCTGGAAAATGTTGAAAACTCACAAACGCTTTGAAAATGATTGAAAAAAATCGAGTCATTCTCTTAATTTATGTGAAAATACCTACTACTTAAGTATGTTTTTAAAACTTAATGAAAATAAAAATTACAAAGGTGGCAAACATACAAATGATATTCATTATTTTAGAAGTTTGTAATGCCCTAAGCTTGGCTTTATTTTAAGACATTTTTTATTCATCCTTGCATAGGGTAAATAAATACTGTAAACAAAAAACAATTCCTTATCAGTTATTTAAATCTTCTTTCGCTTTGCAGAGTGGCAAGCTTTGTTATATTCATAATTTATTAAATTCAAAATGTGTCAGAGATCCTGTATATTTATGCTATAGAACCATAAGTTTAATTCAACCTAATATATAAAATTCTCGTGTCACGGTGTTTGTAATTGAACTCCTCCGAAACGGCTCGACTGATTTTCGTGAAATTATGTGTGCATGCGGCCAGGGTGGAGAATCGGACATCTATTTTTCATACCCCTAAATGTTAAAAAGAACCCCAAACATTTTTTTCTACCCTACAAAGAATTTATGGCAAAAGAACGTTTGCCGGGCAGCTAGTAACATTATAAAGTTGCATACATTTTGAAGCTAATTTTAATCATTATTATTAAAATACTAAAATACAAATGCAATTCACTCCCCCCCTTTTTTATTATTGCTGAACAGTAGTGAAGCTGTTGCTCTGCAAGATTTAACACAGCTCTGTCATATATTTTTCTTTTTTGTTGGAAATCATATTTTAAAAAAAGCATATTATGTAAACGATAGTTAAGTCATACCCAAAGCAAAAACTGATGCAAAGCAAGAAATGATTTAGTGATATATTGTTCTTTGTCTCTTTCATTTGATGCTTGGGGTTGAATTAATTTTTCTTTATTCGAGTATTCATGCGTAAATGTCTACTTTTCAACATTACTATAATATAAACAATGCATTGTTCATATTATATTTTATTTGTATGTTTTTATCTTCCTTTTACAATAATGAGGTTGCTTAAATATTAAGACTTACAACAAGGATTATCTCTTTTAAATTAAATTCTTAGAAACTTTTATATTGTTTGTTTGACACAAAAAGAACTTAGGCTTTCCATAAAAAACAATCCAATTTTTTTCTTTGCTTTATATTCTCCAATAAAGATGTAACTTTATAGACAGACAATCAGTTCAATTGTAGAAAAAATAGGTTATCCTTGTGTAGATAATTATTATAAATAGTACTTAAAAAAAAAGAACAGAATAATGCAACATATTTTATTAATATTACCATTGTCAAACTTCATTTATGGGAATAAAACTAGCCTTTAGAATTTACAACATAAGAGAAATAGCTATTAAATTAAACAATTTTGAAGTGATGTTTAACAGAATAAGTCTTTCTAATTTTGGAATTATTATAATGAAAAAGAAAAAAAGTCAACTTTTCAATGTTATTCCAACAACAAAACTAAGATTCATTTCACGATATAACACAATTAAAAGTTAAATTGGAACATAACATTGAATTAGGATTTGTGCATATCAGTAAATTTAAATTTACAGGTTTTCTTAATATATTAGTAACATGTCATTTCGAAACAAAAAAGGGTATTATTTTCACTGTGAAAATTTATTTTTATAATTATAAGAGGAAAGAAAATAACCTGTGTATTATTTATAAACAAAAAAAATATTCACAAAATATTTTATAATAATGTACAAATAGAACCATGTGCAAGGTACCATGAAAGTATTACAGCAAAAGATACAAAATTTAATTATATCAAGAAACTAAAATACTAACTAGTGAAAATTACTGTGCATGTGTTCTGTAAAATTTTATACAATCTATATTATTTCTGCAAAGTTCTCTTTAGCTTCACTTAAAATATATTTTTAGATTATATTTGAATGATATATTTTTTTACATTGTTGAAAATACATATAGATGGTATGGTCTGCCAAAATTATTATTTAAGTATTTAGTATTATGGCACATAGATATGTAAGTGAGAAATTTAGCAAATACAATTTTATTAATAGTGAAGCTAAAGTAGGAAATTTATCATGCCTCCCATTTATATTATTTCCATCAGAAGCTCAAATATTTGATCCTTCACCTAATTTGGTATTTGATACTGATATATTATGAGCAAATTAGTACACTGACTTTAACCTTACAACAGGAAAGCTGTATCAAGTACAATCAGTAAATGCATAAATAGTCATGTATAGTAATTACCATTATCCTTATGTAATGAAAATATACACAACCATTAAAATAATCTCTAAATATTTACTGCATGTTATTAGTTCAAACCAAAAATGAAATAATATAATTACTTGTAGACATTACAAAATTTTTGTTATATATAATAAAGATTCAGGTTAAAGTCAATGGTATTTATACACTTGACACAATATCACAAAAGTCTTTTGCAAGTTTCTCTCAACAGTATTCTAACATCCAAGACAAATTACACCATTATTAAACATACAAAACACTAATGGATAACTGTAAAGCAGTTCTACCACTCAGCATCACCATTTGCTTTTTGGAAAACAAAATCCTTGCCACCCAAATTCATAATACCATCTTTAAGGTAGAATTTCCATTTGTTACGACTGCGTGTAATCTTATCATATTGACATACAACCACATTGTCGGTGTCAAACATATCACCGGGTTCTTCATCAGACACATCATCACCCGAGTTAAGGGGTTCTTCTTCAGCCCCTCCGCTTTCATCTCTTTCTTCTTCTTCCTCTTCCGCACGCTCTTCTGCTGATTCCTCATCCTCATCATCATCAGCTCCACAATCTTCCGATCCATCTCCAACATTCGAACCTTCGTCATCAGAAGAATCCATAGCACCATCAAGAGAAAATGGTGCGGCATTGCTGCGGCCACCTCCACCACCATCAAAGTCACTTTGCTGACCAGCAAGAGCTGAATTTATGTGTTGTTGAAGTAGAGTTGCAGCTAAAGGTTGAGGTAAACTTATTGTAGCATTGATGATAGGCCCGGTCAATACCTGGTGTAATTTGTTTCCGTTAAGTGCTGATGCTGGTATCTGAATTGTAAATGAGCGTGGTTGTGATCCTGGCACTCCAGGCTGAGCTGGTAATGTTAATTGTACTGGTACTTTGTTATTAGGGTCCAATACATGGTGTGGATGTGCGCCAGCAACATTCGAAGCTGAATTTCCATGGTCTACAATAGTACTCTGTTGGCTTGAGCTTTGCTGAGCCATGTGAGTATCAGAGCGTTTTGGAATCGCATTGTTCCCGTTAGCTTTTTGAAAGTTTTGAATCACTGGAGGTGGAGGCGGACAAATAGAAGTATTAGGTTGTGGTGGGTCCATAGCTCCACTTGCGGTGAGCTTTGTTTTCCATAATTGTTTTAATTCTTGCAAAACTTGCTCATCCACACCATCGTCTAAAAAGCAGTCTCTTACTCCGGCTATCACATCGTCTACTACGGTATTATAAAGTTTAATGACAGACAGTTGACTCATCGTCATTTTGGTAGCAATTACACAAGTATGCTAAATACCAGATAAAACGACTTCACAAATTGATTTAACGTAAAAGTAACTGCATACGAATGTAAGAATGATAATATAAAGCGAGAAATGGTAATCTTCGTTCGTATTCACATCTCTTCTCAATGCCACCTAATATTCGAAATTATATAGCCATTTTAAGGTAAGTATTAATATTTTTATTTAATAACCCGCAATTGACAAAAATCACTCTAAACCACGATAGAAAAGGTTTGTCCACTTCATAGTTCCAATCTCACAAATATATTTAACATAAATTTTGACAATTGACGACTAAAACATAACCTACAAACAAAAAGCAGTATTTGCCAGAGTGCAAAAAAATTGTCGATGGTTTCTATATTACAGCGCATGTGCGAATACAGCGCCACCCGGCCGCCAGTGCTGCCACATCAAAAATTGATCCGATACATAAGCAACGGTGTAAAATTAGCTTTGTTACTTGTTCGTAAAAGTGAATTATGTGGACCCTATTGTACATTTTACAATCAACCATATAAGTTCACCGTTTTAGCTAAGCTTTAAAATTACATATTTAACCGAGAATAATAACTACCTATACAAAAGCAACAAATCATTATCACTATAACCATTCATACTTTTTTCATTATTCACATTAAGCGCATCAAATGGCCAACAAAGTTCTAAATTAGGGATGGCAAGTAAAAATTAATATTAATATATATAGTATCGACATTTCAATGTATAAACGTTTAATTCGATAATTATCGAGGGAAAAATATTTCGCATGATTATACCTAAATTTTTTAAAATATTATTTTACGTGCCTTAGAAAAGGTGTATTTTACAACTCTTAGTTGTATATTTCTTTCTTACAGTAGACTCATGCCAAATATTATCAATATCGTCTTTAGAATATTGAAACACATGTACGAGTAGTGTGCATAATTATGAAGCTCGTTTGGACAGCGGAAGTTACATCCTACAAAGTTATACTGATCTTTTTAGTTTTTATGAAGTTTATTTAGTTATGTGGTAGTTTAGTTTGGATGAAGATGGATAAATCGCTCTTGTGTCTAAAAGTGAAGAAGATTTGTTATAACACATGATTTTACACCAAGGCTTACAGCTCGATAAAACAATCAGATTACTTCTTACTGTGTTTGAAATAGTGAGAGCCATTAGATGGATTCTGAAATCGATCTAAAACAAATTTAATGTTAAGTTATCGCCTACAGCTACATCAGGTTTATAGGCGGAACTAAAATTCGTATATTTATATGTGGGACTAATATTCATAAACTTTTATGAATTTAATGTTATTAGAGAAATCTACTAAAAGAAACCGGTGGTTCATAATTATTTTTGGGTAAGTACCTATAAGCTGTAGTCACCTTTCAGATCAATTGCGAGTTATAATAGAACTATGCTAGCTTTCCATTAGAAAACGCAAGTAGGTTTGTAGGGTTGCAAATGCGTTGCAAAAGTGTAATACTTCCACTTCACACCGGTCTTCTGTGAGATCGTGGTATTTATCAGGATGAACCTGCTCATTCGTGCATCAACGAAGACTGTGGCGTGGCCATAAGTATTTTATAGCTATATACAATTTTTATGCTTTACCGTGGTTGAAAGTACTAGGTCGACAGAAAGGTCGGTTGCGTTAAAAAACATGAATTAAAAGGGATAGGGCTACACAATAGTCTTCACTGTTGCACGAAGGAGTAGATCTGTCTGGGGAAGTACCACCAGCTCGCTTGCCATCTTCTTACATTAAAAAAAAACTTTGATGTCATATTTCTATTACTCAAATGTAGCTAATAGCTACAGCTAACTAGCTAATTAGAAGCATTGTTTTTAATTATCAAAAGATATAAAATTACTATTAATATTTTTTTCACAATTACAGATTTTGTGTGCCGCGATGTGATGCAGTTCTCGCAGCAAGTAAGAACTTACCATCGGTGTTTTCTGCGAGAACTGCACAATAAACCTTGATTTCTTAACTGGCAGTGTTAGCACCGATGCGTTAAGCGAACCTCGCTAACTTTTTATTATAAAGAACAGTTTTTAAGAAACTAAAGAATTCAAGAACTAAAGAAAAGGGAGTTGCTTAAAATGAATATCGAGAACATAGATAGAGAACATCAATACATAGTAGATAAAACAAAGTCGTCCTGCTGGCTGTCTGTCCCGTTGTATGCTTAGATCTTTAAAACTCCGCAACGGATCTTCATGCGGTTTTTTTACTACTAGATAGAGTGATTCTGAAGTCGGATCGGGACGCTAGTACAAAATAAAGGGGCTTTCGAATTCATAAATAATGTACATAAATTGCTTTCATTGCATTGTAAAAGATAAGTATAATAGATGGGCTTTTTTAAAAATTGTTATGTAAATCTCTATAAAAAACTCTCAGGGAGTAAGTAAGTTTGGTTTATAAATAATGGGTCTATACCATCAAAACGTCATGGTGCTTCAAATATAAAAACCTACGAGTAAAGAATTTTGACTGTATCCATCAAATACAAGTTATATGTAAAATTTAAACGAAAGTACAAAATTCCATAACATGCATTTGTGAATGGAAGAAGCTTACACTTAGATTTATTATGACTGATTTTTGATTCTGCGATAGTCGTCTCTATTGACCGTATTTTTTTAAACTTTACGTTGGAACGAAGAATACTCATGGCTGTATTATCTTTATCACACGTCTTGTACGTGCTACGGATTTCAAATATAGTTTTAATAAGTCTATACATACCTATTTTAAGTTTTAGTAATTTACATGTTCATTTACAAAATCTTTTCTCTAAAATGCTCATAAAAACAGTGTCTCAAAGACAGTTTTTCATAATGCTAAAATGAAACTGGGTTTATAAACAACATTCATACATCAAGTATTAAATGTGTTAAATCCTTCGGCAAAACTTTAGAATGAGACCTTAGTGATAATGTACCTATATAATCAATAGTTTATGTGGTCAACGTTGTTTTCTATAAATATATCATATCAAAACTTGAATTACTGGTTCATTTAGACTAATTTGCTCCAGTAAAAGCGGGTAATATCCCCGACGTAGTGAAAACGGTAAAAAGCGGTCGACAGTTTTCATTCCGTGAAAGCTTCCCGTGAATAATTCAACGATGTTTATTCCAGTAGCACCTCAAAGGATGCAGACCACATTTATCTAAACAAGTTACAATTTGTGGTGGCGAGAGCGTTGCAATATGCCTATTATAAAAATAATACATAAAGCCATAGGATTCATACGTTGAAAAAAATTTTATATACTTAAAGTTGTAATAGAATAAAATCTCATGAAATCATCTCATATGTAGAGTTGCTGATCTTTTATGTAATAACATTACAATCCCTCCTTATCTCTCACACCTTTGATCGTAGAGGACAAGGAGTTCACACAACACATCGCTCCTTACATTCTCCAAACTGGATCAAGAGAAATCTGATGAGCCCACTCCCAGCAGTTCCACACAGTGAGTTTTACATTTTGCATCACTGTAGGGCTCTTGCTACTAACCAATGATACTTTTTTGGCAGTTTAGTTTTTCCAGTATTTTTTTTATTGTATCACGATAAATTTTGAAGTAACAGTACACATCTTTCCTTTTAAAGGGTCGTACTAAACATGTACCGGAGAAAGTGAAACGGATATAAAAATAGCATGAAGCATCAATTTTGCTTCCGCTGGGGAAAAAACCAAGTTGTTAAAATGTCCGTCTGTGGAATAAAATGAAATAAACGATATTTAAAGAATAAATGTGTTATTACATTTATAATGGAAAGTATTGTACACAGTGCGTAGCGGAAAGTAATGCTATTTGAATTGTAATCAATACAACGCTATCCTAGCTGGTTCTATATCAGTGCAACGCAAAGGGTAGTCCACCCACCTGTAGCATCCATCAAAAAATCAATACATCCTAACATTTGCGGACATAAATTATGGACGCGCTCGTAAAGCTCTTAAAACCTTAACGTGAATTTAGTTCATTAATCATTTACTGCTATGTGTTCGCATATCGTAAATTCTTTGTATAAACTTTTAATAAATAGTTAAAGACCTTAGAAAAACAAACAAAATCATCAACCTAAGAAACATACATTTCATCGATTGATAGTCATTTTTAGCCATTGATATATAGGTCATTGAAGGTAACATAATCGTTTTTATAAAGCTAACAGGTTTTCTATTTGAAATAACGTTATTCTGCAAATGTTATAAAAGTATAATATATCCTTTTATCAAAAAGTTCTTTTCTCACCAAGTCACGTCACCCAATAATTAGTGTTTACTAGTTATTATACTAATTTATACTTATTGCATACGTAAAGATCTTAACATCTCATCCTGTTTAGAGATAATATTTTCCGTGTATAGAGATATATTTCGATTCTCGACTCAGGTTTGTTCGCGGTCATAACCCAGAATTCTATAAATTGCGTCCAACGCAGATAAACAGTTGGGTTTATATATTTCTAACATTTACTATTACATAACAACTACCCATAACCACAATTAAGTATATGACTAACAGCTACATGACCAAGCAGCAGGCGTACTAATACAATAAACGAGAGGTGTCAGCGTGATCATAAATTATAAAGGTTAATGTGAATATTTTCTCATTGTGTTCAGAATTTGCCTGTTGCAAGATGTAATGTATTTTATTTTCCATTGCATCCGAACCCTTCTCTGGCGGTAATGACAGTCCCATCCGATTTCGCGTTCCGTCAAACAATAGACGAAGGACGGAGGGAGCGGATGGAAACCTGCGCTTTGTAGACTTCTCGGTGGAGTTTTAACGAATTTTCATTTTACGAATACAAATCATTGGATGAAGTTGGAAAAAGCTAATCGTTCAAAATATGTATTTGGCTACATTAAAATGTTATAAAAACGATACAGATAGAGTCTGCTGTACATATATGTATACTCGTATTTATTATGACAGATAATGTTTACAAATAG